CAGTTTCCAAATGGTTTGAAACGTGCAGTCCTTGTAATCACATGTAAGAAGCGGTAATTGATTACCAAAATGAATGCTCGATGAATGGGTGGACAGAGCGCTGTATGTCTTGAATTCCTTATTACATTCGTTATAAAGACATACAAATCGTTTGGTTGAGTGAACTCGTGTCAAATGTTTGAGAAAATATCTATTTGTATCAAAACTCTTGTGGCACTCATTTGACGGACATTTGTATGTATTTGTTATCAAATCAAAGCATTTCTTTCTTTCGTCCATATTTTGTACCAATAATTCAAACATTGGATCGCTTTCTACGGGTTTTATCACAAATTGGTCTTTAATTATATCCTTTATTCTCATTCTTTGGACATAACTATCATCTGATTCTCTGCTTATCTTTACCTTTGGTTCGACACAACTCTCGTCTCTCACTTTCTTAGGTCTGCCTCTCTTTCTGGGCATCACTTCCTTCTCATCTGAATCTTCACTCAATTCCTGGACATAACTCTCGTCCGAGTCTTCATTCAATTCATCGACAGTTTCTCTCATTTCTTGTGTTTTGTCTCTCGTTTTAGACATTGATTTCTTTGACACCTTTTTCACAAGTTTTCGCCTTTTGTTAAAACGTTTCTTCGGTTCATAACTATTGTCTGTGTCTTCACTCAAACCATCGATTGTCTGATCCGAGTCTTCACTCATGTCTTCGTTGTTGTCATCATTTAATTCAAACACTTGTTTCTTAGGTTTGCTTCGCTTTCTGGGCATTGATTTCTGTGAATCCGTTTTCATTTGATTTTTATATTTCGCTAAACTCTTTGGTCGTGTCGTTAAACTCTCCTTCAGTTCGACATAACTCTCGTCTTTGACTTCATGTAAACCATTGGCTATCATATGATTGATGTCTTCACTCATGTCTTCGTTGTTTTCATCATTTAATTCAAACACTTCTAATGTGTTCTCTCTTTTTGGTCTCATTTGTTGATTACTTAATGGACTCTTCACGTGATGTCCATCGGATTCATGTGTTTTATCATTGATTTGATCCAAAGGTTGAGATAATGAGCGAAAGTCTTGTTTGTCTTCACAATCGATAAGTGTTTCATATTTTGAGTGAATATTAATTAAATGTGTTTTCAATTCATTCAAACATTTGTTTGCAAACAATAACTCATTTAAAAGTCGTTTGTTTTCAACCATTAATTCATCCAAAATATCATTAATACTAATATTGAGTGACTTTTGACTATTCATTGAATTCTTACCATAACCTGAGACGCTATGAGATAGAGTGGGCGTCACTGCTATACGTGCCCCACATTGGGCTCAAGGAGTCCATCGGTTCCCAAGCAAACAAGACAATCGGCCAATTGATGTCCAGACCCACGACAGCCTCCTATTACGACCCGATCGACAAAAGGGCGCGCTTTGTATTCGCCGACAAAACTGTCATGAGTTTCAACTTTGATATGGGTTTCCAGTACTCATTGCCCACCACTTCGACGGTCGCCGACGAGTTGGCTAAGTATGGCATCGCAGGCGACACTCCCTTTCAGGCGGCCTTCACTCGACAGAACTCGGATTCCGAATACGAATTGTATTTGTTTTCCAACACTAAGTACTGCCAGAAAGCGATGACCAACTCTTTGGGCGCACAACTGACCAAATGGTGGCCATGCAGTTGGAAGTCCGCCAAAGAGTTTCTCAATTGTCATAATTATAAGCCTATGAAAGCACTCGCAAAACAAGGCTCTCCTGTCGGCTCTGTTCGCAGCGGTAGTGCCGACGGCAACGACACTCAAGTGGAGGCCCTCAACAACACCACCCAATCCGAGTCCACACCCACTAAAACCAAATCCAGTGCTAATCTCTCCGTCTCTCCAAACGTTGTAATTTTGATTCTCTATATATTTATACAAATGTTTTGTAAATTCATTTATGTTTGAAAACTTCTTGTTTTATGAATTTCTTATTTAATTTCTTTGTTTTATAAATTTGTAAATNCCGTCTCTCCAAACGTTGTAATTTTGATTCTCTATATATTTATACAAATGTTTTGTAAATTCATTTATGTTTGAAAACTTCTTGTTTTATGAATTTCTTATTTAATTTCTTTGTTTTATAAATTTGTAAATAAATATATATTTATAACAAAATCTAAATGAAAATCAATTGATTTTAATTTCTTAATAAATGATCAACTTTTAACTGTTATAAATATTTATAAATACTTTTAATGGCAATAATTTTTTGCATACTTTTAACAACTATTTTCAGATTTATATAAAAATATTAAAATTGTATTTAAAAATAATTGTAAACATAATTACTGTTCAAAACAAATACTCAATTAATACTAGATTTTCTCAACACTTGAGATGTGGACATAAATTGGATCAATTGATGGCTTCTATCGATTCCTATCCCTATTATTGATGACCAAAGAACTCGCCGTTCAATAGCGCTGACCATTGGCTCAGATCTTTAACCTCACGTTCGGTCACTTTTATATCATTATGAATGCAATCAATCAACTGATCCAAGGAATCAAACTTCTGTTCGGCTCTAATATAGCCACAAATGGCCACTCGAAGAGTGGATCCGTAGAAATCGGTGTCAAACTTATGCAGAATATATGCTTCGAGGGATCGGATGGTGTTATTGTACTGTGGATTCCAACCCAGACTACAGACCATCCCATAAACAGGCGGTCGGGACTCGTGGGCAGCGGTGGTGTCGTCGACACCATTGGGCACTTGCGGTGCTGTGGCTGTCGTCGTGGGAACCAATTGGCAGAAGCCGTAGTAAATCCCGCTCTCGAGTTGAGTGCCGATGGCTTTGACGACCTCCGGGTCGACGTTAGCGGTGGGAATACCCAACTCTTTGCTCCCGCGGCCGAAGCCGTGCACCACTTCGCCCGTCACCAGAAACGGTTCCGCCAGACGTCGACACTCTTCTGTGGCACTCATTGTTTGAGTTGATTTGATTGGACGGCTCTTTGATCACTGAAATCAATGACAATCGCAATGAATACAGAGGTATATAAACCATGAGATGATAATTCAATGACAGACCTGTTTATCACCAAAAGTTATCACTCTTTATGACACAAACACACAATATCTTCGGCGCTCAGAAACTGTGGTAAAGGATTATCACATAATCACCGGTTATTATAAATGAATAAATCTATGAATTAATTAAACAATAAATTAATTGTCTGTAAAATGAGATGACATTTGAAACCATAAGTATTGACACGTTTTCAGTCAATAATATTTATCATGTGTTTTGTTGTCGGTTGCTATGAAAACGTATACCCATTACAGCCAATAGTGTGCACCCAATACGCGTGCGCGCTATCATTGGTCGTAATAATCACCGCAACTAATCCAGTGATGAATGAATGGCACGATTCTTGTGTCCAGAATTGGCCATCAATTTTACCGACAGAATATTCTTACAGAATTAGTCACGTGTTTAGATGTGTTCCCAATTCTGCGAATAAAAACTTTTTACCAAAAATTGTTTGAAAAGTTTTGGTCTTAAAAATAAGTGAAGAATTCAAATATACAGTAGTTTGAAGTTTTTGCTCAAATTAATTGATAATCATTTTGTTTTAATAGTTTTTTATTTAATTTATCAAATAATAGCATAAAATTTACATTAATTTTTCGTTATATAATTGTGAATATCATTTGTAATACAATTGTATCACTATTTGAACGCAAAAACTGGTGACCAGAGTCTGGCCTTTAATTGAGTTGTTTTATGTGAATAAATGTGATAAAAATTAACAAAACGTTTATTATTTATGTTTGTTTTTCGTGTGATTTAATAGATTTTCATTACTGGATGTGTTGTACTCACATCCGGGCCAATGGCACTCATAGGGCTTATAGTTGTTGTGGGCATTCATGTGATACTTTAATTTAGTATTACTTCGGTATCGTTTGTCACACGAGGGCCACAAACACGCGAATGGTTTCTCTCCCGTATGCGTAAGCCTATGTGACCTTGGTTCGCTTCCCGTCCACTCACATCCGGGCCAATCGCACACGTATTGAGTTTTGACAATTGGTTTCTTATTGTGAACAGCGATTTGATGTTTATAACGATCTCTCATATTGTAAAACCTTTCAGTGCATCCATCAGTTCTACATCTGAAGAGTGGTTCACTATTGTGTGTCTTTTGATGATCGTTTAGATATGTCTGTTGCAGATAAGACTTCTCGCAGCCATCGATACCACATATAAACGATTTGAATCTAAAATAATGTGTGTCTTCATGTCTTTTCAACACATTTCTGCTTTGAGTCGTTTCATACGTGCAGTCCTTGTAATGGCATTTAAAAACCGGTAATTTATTATTGAAATGAATGACTGAATGTGACCTCAGAAAGCGAAATAACTTAAATTGTTTGTCACATCCATTGTGAGGACATTTAAACAGTGTGTTTGTGTGAACGCAAGAGAGATGTGTGTGAAAACTCTTATTCGTTGTGAAAATTTTGTTGCATTCATTTGCCGGACATTTGTATGCATTTGTCGTCAAATTAAAGTATTTCTCTCTTTCCGATCGATTTGTTTTCAATAATTCAATCAATGGATCGCTTTCTCCGATCAATATATGGTCTTTTGGTATGTCTTCTAATGCCAGTCTTTTGAGACCACTTTCTGAGCTCTCGTCCGAATCATATGACTCTTCGTCCATCGCTTCACTCCATTCGTGATAAGACTTCTCATCCGAGTCTTCATTCAAATCATCGACAGTTTGTTTCACTTTTGGTTTCTTATGTTTGCCTCTCTTTTTGGGAATCAATTTCTTTGAATCCCTTTTCAATTTCTTTTCATTTTCACGTTTTGTCGAACTCTTAACACAACTAATGTCTAAATCTTCACTCAATTCCTGAACACAACTGTTATCCATGTCTTGAATCAATTCATTGATAGTTTTGTTCACTACTTGTTTCTTAGGTCTGCCTCTCGTTTTGGGCATTGAATCCGTTTTCAATTGCTTTTGAAGTTTTGTTGATTTCTTAACACAACTATCGTCTGAATCTTCACTAAATTGATGGACATAATCGTCATCTGATTCTTCACTCATGGCTTCACTCGATTCGTGACAAGAGTTCTCTTCCGAGTCTTCTTTGTATTCCATGAGTCTTTGTCTCACTTTCTTGGGCTTAAGACTCTTAGGTCTGCCCCTCTTTCCGGGCATTGATTTCTTTGAATCGCTTTTCAATTGTTTTTGACGTTTTGTCGAACTTTTAACATAACTATTGTCTGATTCTTCACTCAATTCGTGGCCATAACTCTCATCCGAGTCTTCATTCAAGTCATCGATGGTTTCATAAACTTCTAGTTTCTTAGGTTTTTTTGACGTTTTGTCGAACTTTTAACATAACTATTGTCTGATTCTTCACTCAATTCGTGGCCATAACTCTCATCCGAGTCTTCATTCAAGTCATCGATGGTTTCATAAACTTCTAGTTTCTTAGGTTTGCTTCGCTTTCTGGGCATTGATTTCTGTGAATCCGTTTTCATTTGATTTTTACATTTCGTTAAACTCTTCTTCAGTTCGACATAACTCTCGTCTTTCACTTCATGTAAACCATTGGCTATCATATGATTGATGTCTTCACTCATGTCTTCGTTGTTGTCATCATTTAATACAAACACTTCTAATGTGTTCTCTCTTTTTGGACTCATTTGTTGATCATTTGATTGACTCTTCACGTGATGTCCATCTGATCCGTATGTCTGGTCATTGATTTGATCCAAAGGTTGAGATAATGAGTGAAAGTCTTGTTTGTCTTCACAATCGATAAGTGTTTCATATTTTGAGTGAATTTTAATTAAATGTGTTTTCAATTCATTCAAACATTTGTTT